GAGCAGAAAACCAACACTGATACCATAACAGGAAACGGGGAGTTGTAGTCTTAGCAGTGAATGTAAAAGGCAAAGGTATAACGAGAGCTGGGGGACACAATTTCCAGCTACTGACAGCATTAGTTTTACTTCCAGCTATTCTTGTTGATAGGATGTGGTGGAAATGGGAGAAACATAGTAGCAAGTGTTATGTTGTTAAAAAAAAAACTCTCCTGTCTCCTCTCTGTCTCCCCATACAGAGCCAGAGGATATCCACCACTAGTTTTGGAAATTGGGGTCCCCCCCCTTAGTGCTGCAGTGTTATGCTGAAGTACTACTCCCTACCTCCCACCACAGAACAACCAGTCACACTGAGTCTGGTTCTGATTCATCCACAGTCTCCAAGTGTTTGCTCGTTGTGTGAACTGTTATAATTTTGTTAGGCCTCGACTTTGTTATGTAATGTGCCTTGTGATGATGTATGTTGGCGCTATGCAAATGAAAAGAGCAGGGTGACTGTGACCTACTTCCACCCTGCCATGACCCACATCTTGATTCTCTTCCACACACTCTAATCCACACACTCTCTATACTAATACTTAAGCGACACAGGTCACCAGCTAACTGGGCCAACGCTTGTGTAACTGGCTTATTACACTGCGAATGTTTGGTCTCGAGCTGGATCATGAGCATTTAGAGCTGAGTAGTGGGATTTGCAGAGGAAACAAATTAGAGAAATGCTGATTTAAGGGAGTTCTACACAGTTACTGCTGAACTGTTCCCCTAACCTGACCACGAATCTAATGAAATGTGAATGAGGAGCATAAATCCTTACTTTGGCACAGGCAGATGATTTAAATGTGCAATCGCTTGCAATCATATCGCAAACAGTCATAGAGGAATGGACACATCAGCCCAGAGTAAAAGTAAAATGTGTCAACAGACACTCGAGTTGGTTGATTTGATCTTCACATAATGAACTGAACACAGACAAGGGATTGATTGAGCTAACTACCAATACTCACATCTGTAGCTTTACATCCACTCTCTCCCTGGCTCAATAGCAACAGGGAACAAAATACGGCATTGCTTTTTGCTGCTCTGGTAGTGACTAAAAAATCTCCACGCTGGAGTGTTTCCTGTGGGAGATTCTCTGGTGCTGACGGTCGTCGTTGACAATGACCCTCATCTCTGGTGGATGACCTGGGATGTGTCACATTCTCATGTCAGCACCAAAGAAGAACAAAAACAGGAGGTGTAGAAAAATAACAGACATAGTGCGACTGGATTGTGCTGGATTGGATATTATGTAAGAAATGATACAACAAAACAAGGACTGAGTACTATGACTATAATGGATGATGGGGAGCAAAATATGATCCTGTACTTGTACCAGTCTGGATTCTGATTGGCTGGAAGGAGCAAATTAACTTTAGGAACAGAACAATTCAAATTTGTCCTGCAGTTATTTCATGCAAAGCAAATGCAAAAGACACTAATAGAAAATGTATAGTGGGGAGCACAAATAGACAGGAGTATGCACACATGCAAGTTGAAAAGTTTCTGTGTGACACTGTGTTATAAAAGCATCAGTGTTGAGATTAAAAAAATGCAGAACGGAAAGTCAATATATATATATGTATACATATATATATACAGCTACTTTTAATGAACATCACAGATCTTTTGCAGTGACCCTCACATAGGATCTGTGACCTTGATCTGGGGGATGGGGTCCCCTTTTTTATTTTTATTTTTACTTTGTGTGTTTTTAACATATGTGTATTTGTTTGTATTTAAATGTTTCTTTGGATAAAAAAAAAAAATTGGTTACTATTGTATCTATGTGCGGGGGACCAGATATTAAACATCCTCCTTGGAAGAGGGATTAGAGGAAAGATTAGATTGATAGATTAGATTAGATTGTACAGATAGATAGATCATTGGGAAGTGTATTATAAAGGTCTCTTAATCTCTTGAATATTATATCTTGATCCTGGTATATACTTGAAAATGCCTTTGGTTATGCTGCCACCTCGTGTTCAGCTTGTGAAAATGCAAAATTCAAGACTAAAGACAGATTCAGTGTACCACAACTTGCAATCAGTTTAGAAGTCACATACATTCAGTTTGCAAAGCCATCAAACACAGAGAAGCAGCTAGTCACCACAGGACAGAGGCTGGACCTAGAGAATGAGACACACATGGCTTCTGTGTCTATACTGCTGGCTCCACAGACTTATCTCATAACTAACACTATGAGCACCTCTAAACCCACACAGTTCAAATCAAGAAAGATCTGCAGTTATAAATTTAAAAAAAAGGTAATCCATATAACTGTCATTATGATATCAACATTGCACATCATGCAAATACAAGATCCATATTAATATTAACAACTTTGATCCATGATCTCTAAAGGTCCAGTGTGTAAGATTTAAGTGAAAGGGATCTAATGGCAGAAATTGAATATAAATAATCCCAGCAATGTTTTCACTAGTGTATAATAACCTAAATTGCATGAATTGTTGTTTTCTTTATTTTAGAATGTGTCCTTTATGATTAAATACTTCATATTTACATCAGGAGCGGGTCCTCTCTACGTGTATTTTACAGTAGTTAAAACTGGACAAACTGAACAACTTTTGAGTTTTCATGACAACTGAAGGCTTCCACAGGTTCTCTCTCATGTTTGGGCAGGGAGGGTGAGGTGAGGGGTGTTCAGCTGCAACATGCAACTTCACCACTAGATGTCACTAGGTTCTACACACTGAACCTTTGGTCCATTTTTTAAGGCTGTTTTTAAGTTTACTTGATCCAATATTTGCATGTTTTAAAACTGCTTTTCTGTTTGGAGCATTAGTTGTTATATGCAGTATATCTTTATGTTTTGCAGTTGGTTTTAGTGCTTGGTGTGTTGCATGGTGTGTGTTGGTTTATGTGTGCTGTTTTTCTAACACTGCATGTTTATAATGGAGGATCAGAGTGATGACAAACAGCTGTGGTGAACTGGACCACACCTCACACGGGCCAGGATTAGGGGGGGGGGGTTCTTTAAAAGACTGGATTGGTACAGGTGGGGGGTGGAAGAGATGACAGAGGACACGTGTGCGACCTCAGGACCGGGGGGGGGGGTCTGATGCAACGAGGTGGTTTCCAAGAGACACGCGAGGCGAGCTGCTGGACGAGCAGCAGTGAGTCAGACGTGACGAGGCTGGAGAGACTGATAGAAGGTAAGTGAAGGAAAGTTGATATGGAAACGTAACATGTGGGGGGGGGTCCTTATGAGACACGATTTGTTCTCTGTAGATAATAACTGCGGTCAAGTGAGCAGACGTTCGTCTTTTCCTGATTTCAAGTGCGCACGTATTACAGAATGTATGGCAAACTTTGAGGCTGAATTTCTCCAAAATGATAGAGTAAATATGCTTGATGCTGAGTGAGTGAACAGTCAGGATGGTCCTGAGAGCAAGTGTACAAACCTTTGTCAGAAATGAGGGATCAAAGAGATTTTACAGTAGAGTAAATATTGCACATAATGCCTTTTTCAACTAAGAAAAAGGAACTTTGAGGCTGAATTTCTCCAAAATGATTCAGTAAATATGCTTGATACTGAGTGAGTGAACAGTCAGGATGGTCCTGAGGACAACTGTAAAAGCCTTTGTTAGAAATTATGGATCAAAGGGATTTTACAGTAGCATAAAAGATTGGCTTGCTCCGTATCATGGACTACCTGCATAATAACACAGTTTTCTTACAAAGGTTGGTCCCCTCAGCTTTTTCTGAATTGATGGATGAATTGTTCCAAACCTTGTCTCCACATGGCAGTTTGTTTTCTCCTCTTTCTTAACTGAAACATCATCTTCTTTGACACATCCATATAATTTCCCAGCAGCAGACCACGCCGGGGAGAAGTATGCTTTCCCTCCTCATTTGGGGTCTCAGCACCTCCATTATCAAGCTCCCACTGCTACTCCTCAAAGGGAGATCTGCTCACAACTGTGTGGGCATTTTGTCTGGGTCATCATTCTCATCCTGAACTAAAGAGCTGCCTACTGTAATCTGTTTTATGTACTCTTTCAGTTGTCAGTGACTCCATAAGTCAGAATGTTATCAGTGGGAGAGACTGTTGAGGTGCACCCAGCCACCTCCAGAGTTAGGGACTCAAAACACTATTGCTTTTAGCAGGAACTTAGAAACAACATGGGCTGTCTCATCAGGTTTAAGGTCAGCAGGTGTCTTCTTTTTTGACATTTTGATTCCTGCTCCATACCACCTACAGCCTATGATAGGGTTTCTTATGATTTTGACCATATAGGGTTACAGAGAAGTCAGACCAGTCTGAGGAATAACTGGTTTGTAATGTCGACACGCTTCGTTGATATAACCAAAGCTTCCAATCTACCAGGTATTGCCCTTAAGGCTTTCCTTTAACTCTGCACATTTATCTTCAAATTTCCTATAACCTAGGGGAAGGGAGACATAAAGCTTGAATTTGCTGTCAGAATATATTGAGTTTGTGGAGAAAGCTTTGGCTAAGAACAAAAAAAAAGTTTTCTTTCCAAGCTATTTATTTCTGATATACTTAAGGCCCTGGCATTGGGCGCCCCCTATCCATTATTCAAGTCCCCTACAGTCTCCTTCAAATAAACCGAAGGCTATTTGTCTTCCTTTAATGTTAATAAGGATTATTTCTGTTATAACATTAATAGGCATGCCTTCAAATTCCAACTAAGGGATTCAATTTAATGTAATTTAATTTTAACATTTTTGCTGAATCAACATTTTACTTCACATGCTTACTAAAACCTTGTATGTCAGACTGACCAGTCGTGACCATTGTAGTGTCTGAACTATTCTTATTTTGAGCTATTCTTAAATGAATCTGTTATTCTGAGAAACTCACCGTGACCTTGTAGTTTGCTGTAATAGGCTGGTGGGGAGGGGAGTGGTTACACAGATTCAACATGTAGAGTTTGCTACCAGAAAAAATAAATGAATACACCAGAGAAAAGACATTGTGTGTTTTTATTTATTTATTTATTACCTTCAACATATGTTAACAATTTCTCTCGGTGTGTTACAATCACAGGATTGTCCCTATTATATAGAACTGCAGGTCATGTGTCACTATAATTTCAAATGATCCACAGTTTGGCCTGTATGTAAAGCCCAGCACAATTCATATAGTCTCTATGCAACAGTGACCTGACACGTTAATGAGTCATTCAACCTTCTCTTGCTGCAGTTTTCACTTTTCAGTAGAAATGATCATTTATGCTGATTGTTTTTAATCCAGTGTCACTGCCACTCAACATCAGAGCACCCATAATAAAACTAGTGATATTGTAGCAGTAACATTAGTATCATTACTTTGTGCATAAATACATGTTCACTTCACCACTCAGCTGTGGTGGCTGATAAAAAGCTGATCAACTGTGCTCATAGGTGTGTGTGAGAGGAATCTATTAAAATTGAAGAAAAGCAAAATCTGTGTCAGCGTGCTTGAAGTACCTTTAAGTACTCGGCATAGTTTAAGTGATAAAAATAGTGAAATAAAACTCAAACAGCAAAAACCAGCTGTTAATTAAGGACACTTTATTTCTTTTGTTTAAACTAATCCTTTTAACCTGGGCTTTCCTAAATTAAAACTGTATCAGAGAGAGGCTGCACTTAAATTGTACAGAAATATGTTGTAAGATGGTTTTTAACCACCTTTAATAACACAGGGTGGCTACACTGGTTCAGAACATATTGGAACATGTTTGAGTAACATTTTTGTACCACAAGGTGGTGATGTGGTCCAACTTTATCATATTTCTACTGTGAAGTGACACAGTAGCGGTACACTTCCTATAAATGTCCATACATCAACATTTTTGAAAATGATGCAATTTTAACGTGTAACTGAAGTGGTCCTATTAGATTAGAATAATGCTTTTGAATCACTAACTGGCTAGAAGTATCTTAAACTCTTGAGTGTGTACTTGAGAGAAGCCCTGTATTTTGGACAGACATGTAAAAACTGAAAATTGGTCCTCTAAACCACTTTAGAGCTATGAATGTATAATATATATATGTTGGGAAACATTTATTTAGTCTTTTTATGCTACAGAAGCCAAAGTAACAAGGCAGCTTAAAAGTGCCACATTGTCTCCACCGTTGACCATTTGTGCATTTTGTGTTGAAAGCCCAGTTAGGAAAAGAGTAAATTCTCAGAAGAGGAGAGGATTGTCCAGCACAGCGACTCCCACTGCTACGCCTCCATCTGCGTGTTCTGAACTCTTGGTCCTGAGCAGATGGCCCACACACTCGTTCATCACCATGTCTTCACCTCGTCTGTGAGCAAACAGAGAAATGATCAAGTAAGACTAGCTTAAATTAAAAAAATATCTCAATGTGGTTGGTTAATATTTAATTATGGGCTGATTGTTGTGAGTAGTACATTTCACCACATTTCATGGTTATATCACAGAGGTTATTTGGGCAGCTGCCCTGAGTTTGCAAGTCTCATCTAAAACACACATGAATGTCAATAGAGTTTAATGGATAAATCTTAAACTAAGGGTTTTACACTGGAAACAGAATTTAGATTTCTTCTTTATTCCGAACACTAATGTGAGTAAAACTACAGCTTTCTAACAAGTGATTCACTAAATTACTTTACATGTGTGAAGTGTTAATCTACAATGTAAATTTGAATTCAAAACCTAAAAAGAAGAAGAAGAATCTTGTTTTATTCACATCTTGTGTGTATAAATGTAGAATGTGTTTGAGATAAGCAGTACTCATGCAGTGTTGGGCGAGTGGGAAGTATCTGATCATGCTAGCTTGCAGATGAAGGATTATAGATTTTGTCTCCCACTCAGTTCACACACTGAAATGAGGAGCTAATACTGCAAAGGTTACAGAGACGAGGAGTCTCCGCTTCACTTATTGGCAGTGAGTGTGATATAAAAAAAATACATTTCATAATCCTTTAAAGCTGTTTTCAGACATGACTTGCGGAGGATCTGTGGAGAACAACGCAGCGGGAGATTCTCTGCTAAGACGCGTTCGCAACAAATCCTCCAGAGGATTCAGATGAGGGGTGGAGCAGCAGACAGAGGCAGGATGTAATGTATTAATTACGCCGCAGGGATCACGTTATGTCATCTTTACAAAACATCTACACCTTTGTCGGCTCTTTTGATATCTTCGTGTGTGTCTTCTACGTGTGACACCGCTTTTTCATCCTGAAATATTTGTAATTGTTTTTTGTTTTTATCATTTCGGCTTCTGTCAAGTGCTAGAAATGTCATCAACCCCCCCCCCCCCACTTGCTCGCGGTGAATCCTGCAGAGGATCTCCTGCTGTGTTCTCTGACTGTTCTGCCGACTTTATACAAGGGGGCCAGGCGGAGAAGGTGTATGTCTCAATTTATCTTACCGATACGCATGTTCTGAGGTAATGAGGAGCAGCTGAAGCTGAAATGATTCCACTAGCTCTGAAAGCACAACCTGATTTATCACAATATCCCCACCTGACATAAATCCATGAACACATTTTATACCAGTGAGTTCATACCTGACATATGCTCCATAGGCTCCCAGTTCGCAAAGACAGTTGGAGATCTGGAGGGGAGCATCTCGCTTCAGCAGGTAGTTCTTTGAGGGGGTGGGATGGATTTTATCCATCAGAATATAGGCTGTCCTCTCTGTAGGCTCCTTCATTTCCTCCAGGACCTTGCAGATCTCTGAGCCATAGATGTTATTACCTAGGAAAACAGCGTTATAATGATGTGTTAGTAAACCGTGAAGAAATGGACATAATATCTTGTTACATACAGTATATTGGAGCTGGAAACTGGAAAAGTTTAAGGGAAACATCAAAGAGCCTAAACTTGCTTAAAATAAATGTGATTATTTGTCTCATGTACTGCTGTCAGATCAGTTTGTGCAAATATGACAAAAAGCTATTTCTGTAAATGCTCTCTGCTCTAGCTTTAAAAAAAGGTGAGTAAGGAGTCAGTAGTTTTAGGATTAGTTCATTAGAAAGATGTTTGTGTAATCACACCTCCTCCTTCTCGCTGAGGCTTCAGGACAAACCGGTCCGGTGCTGCCAGAGCCATCGCTACTGTTTTGTCGCCCTCTGGGCCCTTTAGGCAGCAACAACAGAGAAATGAATGAGGAAACCACGACAGGACATACAGTATTAGCACAGAATATTAGAGTTTAATTTTTCAAACAAAAATATTACTTCACTTTTTTATTATTACTTTTTTTTATTACTTCACTATTACTTTTTCAGGAGTGCTGTGAAAGTATTTGCAATAACTTGCTATGAGTCTTGTACATCACAGTGGAGGAACTCTGACCCACTCTTCTTGCCTTTGTGCTCAGGATCATTGTCCTGCTGCAAAAACTGGCTGCGCTTTAGGTAAAAAAAAAAAAAGATGGGCGGACATGCTCCTTCAGGAGTTTCTGCTAGTGAGCACCATCTCAATACCACTGTTCAACTGTTGGTATGATGTTCTTATTGTGGAATGCTTTGTTAGCTGTATGCTAGAGCTAATGGAACCCATGTCTTCCGAAAAGTTATACTTTTCAATCATCAGTTCACAGAATATGATCCCAAAAATCTTGGGGGTCATCAAGATGTTTTTGGGAAATACAAGATGAGCCTTTGTGTTCTGTTTGGTCAGCAGTGGTTTGCACTTTGCAGCTCTCCCATGGATGTCTGTATCGCCCTTATGTGATTTCCTGGTTGAGTCCTTGTAGCGCTCCTGGAGACACTTTGGTCAGCCAACCACTTCTGTGGAGGTTCACCTGTGTTTGCAGATAATGTTTCTGGAGTCTCAGAGCTTTAGCAATGGTTTTGTAACCCGTTGCAGACTAATAGTTTTCATGCCTTTGCTTTGCTTCTATTATTGAATTTCTTCAGTTTGTGGCATCATGTGCTGCATCAAATTTCGTCAATTGGTTAATTTAGAAACCGAGAGGAAATCATTGGAAAATGCACTTTGTGTTTACTTGGGTTATCTTGTCTTCTATCAAAATTAGACTGAGGTACTTTTTCACAGCATTCTACACAATTCAACTTGACATGTGTCACTCTCTTACCATGTCTAGAGTGTAGAGGCCAGCGAATGTTGCTCTGATCTGCCCCACTACCTGAGGCTGGTCAGGGAAGAACTTCTCCAGAACTCCAGGTTTTGCGAGCACCTGCTGGACCTTCTTGGTTCCAGCCAGGTGGGTGCTGATGTCTGGACACTTGGCAGCCAGGGAGCGCTCCATCAGAAGCCGAGCATCCCAATACTACAATAAGACAACAAAAAAAAATCTGATTCTGGATTCAGACCCACCTTTACACATCATACTACAGTTTGGCAGAATATCATGTCATCTGATTTACCTCACTCATAAAGAAAGTTCTATTTAACTGACCACCGTTTGCAATAAGAAATGTTCAGATGCTCAACTGTATGTAAAAAAGAACAAGAATCATTGCAATTGCCAATATCCTTTATGGATCCTCATATTTGAGGAGCATTGGTTTGCATGAACTATTCTTCCAACTGGGTTTAAGAAGGCTTACACAGTTTTTGGGGTATTTTTGATGCCTGTTTTCTCTTGGTCGACATTCGTGACAAAGCAGAGGGCCCATTGGCCAGCAGAGCATGAAAACTGTTTGTTTTTCTTTGTAGGGGCAGGTATCATGTGACCTCCGACTGATAGACACTGACAGGAGAATGAAGGAGAGTAACACCCAGTCACACAATCAGCACTTTCAAAAGCGCATCAGCAAAAGAAACATTCTTCTGATGTGTGGTCACTATGATAACCCGACCATCAGTCACAATAAAATCTGACTTCAATTCAGCTGTGTGCTTGTTCCTAACTCTGGTTTGATGCCAATTTTGATAAGGGATGTTCCAATAACGTTTTGCTTTTGCTTCAAGTCAATATTGACTTATGTGGCTCTTAACAGATATGCGCATCTTACTACTGTTCATAATAGAGACATACAGTGTGCAATTCAGTGCATCAGGATGGTAAAAGTGAACAAAATAGACCAGACTAAGCAGCTATGCTGTAAGAATATTTGACTGCCATGCTGTAATTAGATAGAAAAGACTGTTATGATCTGATCCCTGTGTAAACTTCCTGCATTCACTTCCTGTTTTATTATGAAATTACCATGAGTTTCTTGCAGTTTTTTTTCCTGTCTTTGTGTATTTTCACTCCACCTTTTGTTAAAACTTGTGTCTTTCAGCCATTTAGTTTCACTATAATTACAATCTTATGTTTGTCACCATATGCTAAGATTCTGTTTTTCTCCCTGTTTGCAAAAGCACCACTCAGCGAGAACCTAGGTTACTGCCCCAGTCTAGTAAGGCGTCTGGGGTCCCAGTGCAAGTCTTGACTTTTCTCTGCATTAGCCCTGTTCCTCTCATTGTTTTGTAACAGCCCCACTCAGCCTTGGGCATTTGCTTTTGGGTCTTTCTCTTGCATCTGTTGCACTGGTCATCTCATCTGGCAGACCCACATGCAGTTTGTTGTAAAAAACAAGTTTTCCATCTTGACTGCACTTCACATATACACCACCTAAAACTAGGAACAAAGAAATTAATCAAGACCTGTTCAGAAATGTAGTTCTGAGGCATGTAGCCATTCCTGAAGTAGACCACCGCAACCTCCAGGTCATCACTGTAAAAAGAGTGACATGGACGCACAGTGAGTAAAACTGATAATTATCTCACAGCTGTGTATGGAATATAGCTTTAATGAATTAACAAAACGTAAATGTAACTGAGAGAATCGTTCTTACACAAAAAGCCTCTTGTCCTGATCGAGTTTTCCTGTTTTAACAACATCGCCAAACCCCTTTCTTCTTGTTGGAATGTTTCTGAAACACATTGAGAATAATCTTCCTGTTTAATTTGCTTTCCAAAGGTCCACTTCCAACTGAATGATGCCCAAATTTCTTTGCACACACATATATAAAACACACAAAAAGGGATTGAAATATGTGAATCAAGGCACAAGGCTAAAGCACCCATAACAAACACAGATGTTTCAGGTGAAACCACAGACAGTGACATTGCTACATTTCCCATTAACTGGGAACAGCTTCCTCCTCAGTACCAACAACTTACCTCTTCCACAGTTCATACTCAATACATCGCTGGTCAAAGATGTTTCTTTGGGTGTCTTCCACCAAAAACATGACGATGGCTCTGTAATGACAAACATTACTCCTGTAAAGCACCGTCACTACTTTTAACATCATTCTCGACAATTATTTTGACAGGAGGCATTCTTACCCTGTGGATAAGTCAGTCTGGTTTTAGACGTGAAAACCAGTCATGTATAGCACTTGTACGACTTCGAGCTATGCAATACGGGTCATACCAATCTAGCAATACAGGGTATAAGCGGAGATCTGGTTCTACTGGGCAGATTCAATAGTTTCCATCCACTGTTGGTTTATGCTATTTAAAAAGCAGAGTTTTAATAATAAAGATTTTAAATGGTGACTTATGTTGTACTTTATATAAAGGCAAGTGGAAGAGTAGTTTCATGAGGATTCATTCAGTGTTTTTACAGTCCAGATCTAAAGTGTTTTTGTGCATCTGACCATCTGTCAGGGTGACCGTCTATAGATACCTACAGACGTAGTGTGCTTGTCAAGCTGCCCTTGACTCAGCTTCCATTACTCTTAGATCAGTTATGATATTGCATGCGTTATTATACACATGTGCAGTGTAGAAGCTGTAGTTGCAATAGAAACTTCAATAGGAATTTCTTCCTAAGCATTAAGAGGCAGCAGTAGCAGGTAAATGAGCAACTTATATCAAATTCATGTGCTGTTTCTTTATTCCTCTACATTTTCTTCTTTCCATCATGATAGAGGTTGACTTTTGTTTCGTCAGTCGTTACAACTTTATTCCACAAGTCATAGAAAGTTCACACTACAGTTAAGTTTTGAGTGTTTGTGTGAAATGCAGCCTGGCCTTTCTGGTATTGTGAAGCACTGGGGGATGCAAACCGTAGTGCATCCTCTTGAGGTTCTAGTCAGGAAGTCTTATCTTGAACATCAAGCGGTAAACAAGTCCGCAGACATCCTGTAGAGCAATCATGAAGGCATTTATTATATATATGTATTTTCTGCTCTTCCACGAGACCCATTCTTAATCTGTTACTTTTGAACCCCTTGCAATTATAGGATTCTATGAGTTGAAAGACCTTCATCTCACTCATAGAAAAATAATTCTTTATTAATAAACATTTTCAAGGTAAAAGTCACCCCAGTTTGTTGGTTGGTTGGTTTGTTAGCAGGATTATGCAAATGCTACAGGACAGATTACCACAACATGTGGTAGAAGGAGGCTGTATGGGTTAGAGGAGAACCCATTACATTTGGGTGCAGATCTAGATCAGGGGTGGAACCAGGGTTGTTTTCACCACTTCCTCTAACATTTTGAGAACTGAAAACTATGACTGTGTGAAATCTGGTGCAGCCTGATCGAATTTAAGGGGTATGAGCCCTTCTCAATGCCACTCTAGTTTTATTTCAAACTGAAAGGGCTGAGGAAAAAAATTAAAAAAACAATGTGTAACTGCAAAAGTATAGTCTCACCTCTCTGATCCATACAGCTCCCAGGCTTTAGCAATTGCTCCAACCAGACCAGCAGCAGGGTTATTGTCGAGGATGCGCTGACTCTCCTCCAGCCGGCCGGCTACCTTAAGGATTTGTCTGTTGAGAAACATGAAGGAAACATAAAGTAATCTTTTAATCAGAGCAAACACTCTTTGCATCATCATCATCATCATCATCAGACAAAGGGGGAAGCATCATGATGAAATGGTTGATGGTGTACTACAGTACATCTGACTGCCTGTTGAGTCCTTATAGGTGATGTATTATGCATGAGAAAAAGTGAAAATGTCCCATAATTGCTGTAAACTGCAATAAAGTAATAATTTATAATCTGTGAGGAGCACGTTAACAAGTGAATTACCGATGTACATCTGGCGTGCGTGATGCGAGACCTCCAAAACTAGCAGCAAACGTGTTGATCTCTATCTGTTTTAGAGATGACGTCCCGTCCTCTCTCTGGTCCAGCATATAATCAGATCGGTTGAGACCCAACACAATAGACTGGGAGGAGAAAGAAACACCAAACTGACATTTAAAACACCAAGCATTTTTGCATAGTGAACATAACATCTTTTGTTGTTTGGGTGGTGCTTTGCATTTTTTTTCCTACACGTCATGGACACAGGCAGGAACATTTGCATGAAGACAACAAAGACACACTGCTGGATCATTTGGCTGCTGATGAAAGTGGAGGACTAAACCAAATTCAATATTATGGTATTTGAATAAAGAGCAAATGTTCCAGTCTGTGTGTGATCCTGCTACTTTATGTCATCATTACATAAACTATTTTTTATGGGTAAACATCAAGACCTCTAGCACCACCTAAGACCACTGATAACAAGGCTCTGTATTTGATATTACTGCAACGTGACATACTTGAGACCTTCCTTCTTTCAGGATCTGCTGATGGATCTTGAACAACCTTGCAGTGAAGTCATCCACTGCGATGGTGCTGTAAAACAAAGAATGTCACTCAGTGAGCACAGACCCACTCAGAGAATTCAACAATAACGTGGTGTTTTGATGAAAATGTCTACTGCCAAACTTCTGGGGAGACCATCATTATAGCAGTTTCATATACTACCTAGCAAGAGCTTCTTGCAGAAAGTCTGCATCCTGGCTGATCTTGTCCACCAGAGTGTTGTAGTGAGTTTGCACTGCCAGAGCCTGGTGGAACACATCTTTAGGCACAGGCGTGGGAAAGAGTGTGAATGAAGTGTAAGTCACCAACTGAAAAACAAGAGGGAAAATGTAAGAAAAAAATGCTGACATCAAAAGACCATTCATCGAAAAAACAAAACACGAACCACTGCACGCGGCATGAGAGGAAAGTGATCATTCGGAATGAAGCACAACAAATTCCTGACATGACTTCCTGACCACGCCTGTTTCAACAGCCATGGCTCAACAACCCATTGGAGTGGTATTATGTGCTCTTTCATTGGCTGAGCTCATGTTGTCAAATCACAGAAAACATGCAAGTTGACATTATTGTTTCATGACCTTTTTCAGACTGAATATTTAACAGTTTGAGTCATCTGTGTCTTTGTCTGTCTGACTTTATTGTCACTTAGAGGTTATCTAAGATTAACTTGCATGATCCTTACAGCTTGAGATGATATGGTTAAGAATGCTCACATGGTACTTCGCAGCTGATAGTGGGTGAGATGTAGCCGTCCTGAACAGTCCTGATTTAAAAGTTAGTTATGATAGCAAGAAGAAGAATGATTTCATATTTCTTACAGGCTAAATCATTGATGGACTTTTGTTTGACATCTCAACCAGAATATAACCTAAGGTTACAAACAAGTTGATGAGATTGAACAGCAAGTATTAAATATAAATGACAAACCAATTGAAAGGCATGTATTCGTTTTAGATTGTATTAAATTATGCAAAGACGTTCTCGGAAAAATCCACACTACTACGTTTTCATTTGAAAACAACCAAGTGTCATGGCTTCAAATCAGTTTTAATCCCTGTCCATGATATGCTTGAAAAGGCATGTGACCACTAATGTACATGGGCATGCACGTGCTTGTGTAAACAGGATGGAATGCGCTTGTATGTTGGACACAGGAACTGTCACAGATTGCTTAAATAATAATAGATTATCTCCTACGCATGTAAACAGTATTAACCTTGTAAAACACAGAATTTCACTGCACAACAGCTGTTAGCAAAGACGACAATTCATTTCCTAACATCTCTGTTTCTGCCCCTTCAGACTAAAACTCTGCCCCAGAGTTTTCAAACTAAAAAGCGGCCAGCAGTGTTTCCAAACTTCTCCGTTTTAGGCGCTCTAACTCTGGAGTAGTGTGGACTCCAGGCTTATCACTAGCCATGTTGATGCATTTTCAAATGAAAACTTAATAGTCTGGAAGTAGCCCTTAATGTGTGTGTTTTATCCTCTCACCTCCGATGAGTTGGGAGTCTCTTTGATCCTCATTAGGACACCCTGCTGAAGTGCTGCATCTTTGGCCACCTCTGCCAACTCTTTTATTAGTGCAGTATTCATCATCACCTCATCTGGTATCGCCTGAGCCATTCTGATTCACCTGCGATTTAAAGAGCAGTCAAAGTCTGTGGTAAGGCAGTATCACAGTCCAGTACAAAAACATAACAAAATGTCTTGCCTGTGAAGATTGTCATTCATCCAGGGCATGGTATCTTCAGGACTTGTGCATGTGTACTTAGGTAACTGGGCTTGCTTGTGTTTCTTGAAGATGTTTCACCTAGAGGCTTCTTCAGGTCTAACTGACTGGTGAGAGGAACCGGTTTAGGGGACAGATCCGGGATGTTTATTTACATTGTGTTTTCATTTTGTTTCATTTTATTTTTGTTGAATTTGGTGCAGATCCAAATAAAAATCTGTATCTAGTGAATTTAAATGTGGTTTCATAAGGTTGTTGACTGTTGGGCCTTGAAGGACGTGTGTGCTCTTCTTGGTGCAATTCTAGATTGTCCTAATGATGGACAAGCTTCTGCCTGAGGCTGTGGCTGGGCTTATTGTATGTGGTGTTTGTTTAGTTTTTCTGCTAATCCAGCAAAATACACATAAACAGAAGATACTGGTTTTCATTCATTTCTTCAACTTTGTAAACAAATATTTGTAGTAAATATTATTTGTGTTTTTGATTAAGGAATATGTCAGGAGGTTATGCTGCACATCTCACATTCAAAGTTTAGCATTTTTAACCAAACTCCACACTGACCTCACCTGCTTGAACAGCCATGGCTCAGCAGCCCCAGAGTCATGTACTCACATGATCCACATTACAAAAAACCTGTTCACATGAATGACTCTATGTATTAAAGTTTAGTTTATTTTTAGATAAATTGAGATTCAGACAAATTAAAGCAACATTTGATACTGAATATGTAATGGCATAAGTCATGACTTCATTAAAAAAAACTCAACTACTAGTTTGTTCACATTGATACTAATTCATTTATCACATACATATCACAACTGATTAACTTTTTTCACAGGACCTATTCCTGAATTTATTTGGGGTGTTTTCATCTTTTATCTCTATTATTATCATTATGATTATTATGTATGTGCTTCCATCTGTATATTAACAATGTCTTTTCTATTGTGTAGCACTTTGTTCTTTGTGTTGAACGGTGGTTATTATTATTCAAGTTATTGACTGAGTATAAACCAGTGCAAATTATCTGACTTCACTGTTTCATGAGCCTTTTCAGATTCTGGGGACGTGACGCTGCAAGTTTCATTTCTCTCCCACTCATTCAGACTTTTACTTTCATTTTAATGATTTTAACACTTTATCTAGAAACAGATGAACTGTCACAAAGCTCACGTGTTATTTTGAATACGAGACACATGGAGCGATGCAGCAGCTGAACGACAGATTGTTCTATTATCATCATATCATTCTATTGTTATTACACTGTTATGAAGCTGAAGGGGGATTTCAGCTTCCTCCCAGGTTGCGTCATTGTGACAATTCAAAACTATTTTGCACTATTCATCTGAGATCTAATGTCATCACCCCCCGAGTGCACCGTGTCATATCATTATTAGACTGTACCCCTCGTCCTCCGTACACAGCTCCAGTCAAGGGGGTGTTTCTTGGCGACCAAACANCCCCCCCCCACACACACACACACACGCACACACAGAAAGAAGTCGATCTCTCTGTGGAAAGGTGGTGGTGGCAGCTAGCACAGTTAGCTTCCTACCTTCCGGGCTCGCAGGTCTCCTCGGTTAGAGTTGAATGTGTAAGCACAGGTTGTCAGTCTGCAGAGAACCGGCTCGTCCTTCTTCAGTGGCGGTGTGAGACACAGGGCAGGAGCTGGATGTACTCGGCGCCACCTGAGGCACGCAGAGCCGGAGATGAGTACTTCCTGGCGCTGGCCGCCACTGATTGGTCCTGATTGGTCCTGCTCCCGCCTACACCGCGATCACTGACCTGCTCTAGCGAATCAGGGCTCAGAACGTCACAGAAGAACCAAACTCCCATGTGAGGTGAGCTGTGGTTTTATGAAAAGTCATTTTCACACAGTACAGAGAACAGAGGTGGTATAAATACATCTTATATGGTATAAATACAACGTTTATGGTATAAATACAACGTTTATGGTATAAATACAACGCATGTGTACGTTATATATTTGATAAAGGAGAGTTATTTAAATTCTGTATCACCTTTAAGATTAAAGAGGTGAACATTTTACACAACATACATCCAACTAATCTATAATCCTTGCCATCGAAGACAGATGTAAATTCTGCAGCGATGACCCCGAATCTTTGACACTGATTCTACCATTATATATATTCAATCGACTCTTAGTGAAGGATTATTATTTTGTAAAAAGAATCTTAGTGTAAAATTTGATTTCATTTTAAAGATGAGAATCATAACGATGACTTCCATTTAAACGTCATGATTGTATGATAAGATTCACAAATCCATAAATGCAGAATGGCAAACAGTACCCCCAGTTGAACAGGATTTCTAAGTGGATTTAAAGAATAGAATATAAAAATATATTAATAAAAAATCAAGACTCTACAGCTAACAAAAGCAACAAGCCCATGCAAATAAATAGACCATTAAAAGTTAATTAGCAAATCGAAACTGTTACTGTTGTCTAACTACGCTGTCACTTTAGCTGTTTATTTTCTGTGTTGAGCACATATTTGCTTGGTTTCTACACACACAAGCTTCTAAAACAAAAGTAAGCACAAAGCTGTAAATAAAGTTGCAGGAAACAAAAGAAAAAAAGAGCCGTCAGAGAGGAAGTGAGCCGGCAGAATGAGAAGAGGTGTTTCCACAGTAGGTAGCATGTGTGGCTCATGTCCATGCTTTTCTTTATATTGCATAGCCTGGAAGTAATGTTGTTTGACCAAAACAAATGAAAGAGATGACCATCACCATACTTAACCTTTAGAATTTAAAATAAATCCCCAGGGTAAAAGGTTTGAGTAAATAAGACCAGAGGTTCAGCTTTGCAAACACTAAGTTAAAGGCTGTTTAAGGCCTTGGAGGTTGTGTAGTACTCTTTATTTATTTAACTGTTTATTTATTTTTGAGGGACAGTGTATATTAAAACTGTAAATATATACTGCAATATAGGCAAATTTTCCCCATCCAGGTTTCAAATCAACAAGGAAAGGTGTATATTATGTACATATTCTGTGCCTTTTTATTTATGCAATTTTATGTAAAAACATTTTTTAATCTGCTGCTGTAACAAAGGAAGTTCCTCAGCGAGGGATCCACAAACTTATCTTATCATTGGAACAAAACAAAAACTCCTGCAAGGTAACAAGGTAACAAACCAGCTTTACAAAACATGAATGATATGAACATATTGTTGCATTTTTCAAAAAGACATTTTTAGACTTTTTGTATAATATTATTTCTTCCTGAACTGCAGACAGACATTGTTAAACTAACAGTGATGAAAATTAACAAAATACGACAGTGAATATAGCTTATCTTATCTCTTAACAATAAACCCCAGAAAGCTATAAACTCAGTTCCAAAACAATGGTTGAGGTGTTCCAGCATTGAGGTCACACAAGAAGAAGGTTATCATTGATGGAGACGGTTGAAACAGGCATCTGGGTTTGTTTGTAGTGAAACTTCATAATAAGCAAAGGTCCCACTTCTTCTCCAGAGGTTATTTGAGATAAACTGTCCCCAGTAAATAATTAAATGATGGAGAGGTGATGGTGTCCTTCTAAAAGACAGATCTGATCCTTTTGTTCCAAGTTGATGCACTGAATAGAAAAATCAATTTTCCTATGTTGTCATTCAAAGACAATTAGAACAACAAGGCAGAGAAGAGTCAGCATTACCCTGAGAAAACTCCATCACAGCTTCAGGAATGTTCCTTTATAATAGCATATTTCTCTGCCAGGTGACAGCTTCGCTCTACACAGTGAAGAAAACAGATGTTAGAAGATATTTTGTTCTGGAAAAATCATCTTAATAAAACATATTGTCAAATCTCTTTGGGAAAATAAAATTGAATAGTTTGTTACTGTTACAATGATACTGAGAAAAAAGCTCACATGCCACCAGTACATTTTTATGATCAAATCTCTATTTCTATTTCTGTTCAGCTCATTTTCATTTTGTATACCACACCTGCCTATATACCTATAACAGTCTATATATGCATGTATCAGGATACGTCTATTTCAATATCTCCTTATACTAATGCAGGAATACAGTTTTACATCCTTCTACAATCATCCGGTTCCACTGCACTTTACTTAAGTTAATTTATCTAAAAACAACATTTCCATCTGTACTTAAAAGTGTATAGTATGTTCATGCTCTCTGTATTTTTCTTCTATTGCATTTTTCTTCTCTTGCCTTCCTCATTATGACTCTGAAGTGACTTTCCCCAGGATAAATAAAGTTTACCTCATATTTTCTTATCTTGGAAAAAATGAGAAAATTTAAATTGAAAAGTTAAAAATTAAAAGAAAATAATTCAAATGTGAGAACAATATGCAAACCCCCTAAAGCAAACCATCCAGGCCGTGATTCCGTAATTGCCACGCTCCTCCGAACCAACAGAGGGAGCAAGAGCTTTTCTAATAAGACAGGTGACTTCAGCTTCCTTGTTCTGAAGTGTCTTCCTGATCCTGAGGCCTCCACACTGATCAGTACTGACCCAGTCAGGTCTGTTGATGTACTGACATGCTTAGACTAACAGTATTGATTTGGCTGATGTCCATTTGGGACCACATGACAGGAATCCAGATTCACAGAGTGATGAGGAAGCTCTGGGTTGTTTTGTCACTGTGTTTTTGTGTGTGCTTGTAGATGGCGAGTGGACAGCTGTCGAGGGCGGAGGCGTTGGCGTGCTCCGACTGCTTGCATGCGTGCCACGTGATGCTCTACTCTGACACACAACGTCAGCTGTTTGGGAAAATTCCCATCAGACATATCATACTGGTGAGGAGGAAGAGGTGTGTGTGTGTGTGTGTGTGTGTGTGTGTGTGTGTGTGTGTGTGTGTGTGTGTGTGTGTTCCTTACAGGGTCAAAAAACAAGTCCCCACAACGTAAATCCTTAAATTCTAAGGGTGACAGCGTGTTAGGATTTGGTTTGGTAAAGGTCAGAGCTAGATTTAGGTTATGTCAAGGTTGGCATTAGATTAACGATAAATTAAGGTTAGCGTTAGGTTAAGGTCACGTCAGGTTTGGGTTAGTCTCCAGGAAATCACTGTAAGTCAATGCAATGTCCCCTGAAGTCATGGAGACGTGTGTGTGTCTGTCTGAGTATTTGCACAACCGTACACAAGTGTGATATTCAAGCCACCTTTGCTTTTAATCCCTCTGCATGTTCACATTCATGTTTGTGTCTAAGAATCTCTGCTGCCTGCTGTGTGTTTGTCTGTGTTGTGTGTGTGTGTGTGTGTGTGTGTGTGTGTGCGCGTGCGCTTCAGTGTGTATGAATGTTTTACAGCCTCTCTCATTTCCCACAGATGCAGATGCGCTTTGATGGCCTGCTAGGTTTCCCTGGAGGGTGAGTCTTTCCTGGCGCTGCTTAGTTTTGTTCCTTTTATGTGCACAGGTTTGTTTCGCTCACGCTTCTTTTTTTCTTTGCAGACGAGCCCAATCAAAAGATGTAGTAAGCCCTTGTGGCACAGAACATTTACTCTAGAAATCTCATTCCACAATATACATATCTTATAAGATACGAAAATGTGGATGGCAGGTTCCTCTGTAAGGTGCCTTTTCTTGCCTTGAAAAAAAAACCTAATTACAAATTATCAGACTTATACTGATTCTCTAGTTTTCAATTTAATATGAATCACTTTGTATATGTGGTTAACAAGAGTCGCTGCCAGAATTTCTGTGAGATTATGTAACAAAACAAGAAGAGAAATCTGAAGGGAAACTGCAATTGGGAAAAGACCAGCAATGTCAACCAATTTCATACTACACACTAATTGTATACACTATTTTCTAAATAGTACAAATCTGCTCTCAGACTTGCACTGAACTCCAGATGATCTCCAGATGTTCTCTGTAGGAGAATTTCCGAATGAGCCCATGTGAGAACACAGCAGCAGATTATCTGGAGGATTCACTGCAAGCGAGTCGGTGTGTTGATGAGTTTCTAACACGACACGGAAGTGAAAATGAAAAAAACTAAAAAAAAAAAAATCTTCAAACGTGCAGCAGAATTAATACGTTACATCCGGCCTCTGCCTGCTGCACCACCCCTCACCTGAACACTGCAGAGATCTGTGTTTATTTTGTAGGTGTCAGAGAATCTCCTGCTGCTTTGTTCATGTGTGAAAGGTAAACTCAAGAGTCTGCAGCCAGTTCTGACAACATTCTTTGGACTTGTCAAAGCCACATTTGCCATCTGTTGTGATATATACTGATATCAAATGTCACAAAGCTGCTGCACTGCAGTTAATATGATGTAATTATGTAGACTTTCTCTCAGCTCCTCCGATTCTGACTGACTTCCAGCATCTCTGGAAAGATTATGAGAATAATAAATATATATAATTATAGCAAAAATAAATCGTGGATCCATTAGTGAAAGTGAAATTCCCACATAAAACCTGCACCTCAGTACAGAAACAACAGACTGTCTGTGTGGAAGATACAGATAGACACTTTATAATGTTAGAACCACACAGATTCATTAGTACCCTAATGTTCAACATTTACTATGTAGAGTTTTATATTGTTAATAAACCCAGACCAAGTGTTGTGAAAAGTGTCTGACTGATAATAAATGAAAGGACTAATTCTCTGAAGAACTACCAGCTGTTTTCAGACATGAACTCTGGAGGATGGTCGTATCACTAAAAACTCTTCTATAAATATATTTGTATTCCGCCTTGTGTTGATCATGTCGTCATCAGTCGTTGGGCCTTTAATATTAACTCTCAGATGACGGTATGCTGACTCTTCTCTGTCACAGCTTAAACGCAGGAAATCTCATAGGCATCACCAGTTTCCAGTTTACTCCACTAACAGAAGATGTTGATGATGGGAAGTGGAGTTGAATAAAGTCAGATTTGATATAGAACAATATTATTAGATTATAGTAATATACCTAAATATTTGTAATGAAAATGTGAGTCCCCTAAGGAGCGCTTTAGTGAATGAGGGCATTCAAATGTCCAGGAAGTGTCCGAACCTTTCCATTGGTTTTGAATTGAGACTGAGGCTCCAAGCTAATATGTGTCAGTTTTAGTTCAAAATCCATTGACTTTCATGTGACCTGAGTGTCGGGCTTTGAAACTCATTTTCCGTCAGCATAGTTTATTTACCTCCACACTGAGGACTCAGGACAAAAATACAGCGGACATTGTTTATCTACTGTATATCTGATCATGACCTACCACCTCCTTCCACACTTTCAGGCTGGTTAACCCCTCGGAGGAGACCCTGGAGGCAGGCCTTACCAGGGAGTTGTCAGAGGAGCTGGGCGTACCTCTTCCTATATCGGTGGAAGACCATGTGGACTCTCGTCATGCCCCTCCTTCATCCCCCTCCTCCTGCAGATCGCCATCCTCGCGTCTTATCACTCACTTCTACGTGAAGAAGATGGAGGAGGAGCAGATTAGGGAGGTGGAGAGAGCTGCTGCATCCACAGCAACAGATCACGGACATGAGGTAATGTGTGTGTGTGTGTGTCCAATTGGGGAAAAAGATGATTTTTGTGTCAGTGGTCAGGACACGGGGTATGGAATCCTTTTACTATCACAGAACACATCAGTTTTTAGAACATACTTCGTTGACCACAATAAATTATTGAACACAATGATCACACTAACCTTTAAAAGAGATGGCTGCAAATCACTGCAGAAAGCCATTTAGAAAATGGCTCTCATTGAGGATAATGCTGCTGAAAGGAGCAATTAGTAAAAAAAGAAATGAAATTTAACTATAAAAAAAACATTTTTACAGGAAAAACAAAACATTAAAAACGATACAAAATAGTGCAAAAAGAGGAAGTGGTGGTTGGATTGTAGTGCAAAAGGAGGTAGTTGTGGTTGGATAGTATAAAAATGAATTGCAATTATTGCAGACAGTAAATTCTCCCTTGTATCAAGTCTTTCTGCTATCACACCTAAATACAGTTAAATTGGTGGTTTGTTGTCTCACTGTGGGCCAGACATAAAAACTGAAATATTCTAGAGGCGTTTTTTTGTTTTTAGAACATCCCGTGCCGGATCAGTAATCTGCTCTTCGACTGTTCTTTCAGACAATCTTGGACTTAGAAACATTTTTTTACTTCCTGGCAGCTGCTCTGCAGCTACAAGGCTCCTTCCTGAATTCTCCCTCTGAATGAGGTTTCAGACATGTTATCTCTGTCAGAATGTGTTCTTGTGAAAGCTGCTTGGAACCAAACTCCACTGAAGAGTTTAAACTTTATTCAAGTACATTTGTCCTTGTAATTCATGCAGTTTAGCTACCAAGTTTGGCCTTTTTCCTCACTGCAATTACACTCCTGCAAACCTAACACATGGACTTGTCATTTACCGTACTTCAACAAAACAATGTCAGTTTGTCCATTTCTCTTGGCAAGCGTAACATTCTACATCTACTTTTCTTGACAGTCAGTCGAACATGCACTGAACTCCGGAGAAACTCCTGAAATTCAGTGCATGTATGAAAGGACTGTATGTGAGAAAGCAAATGTCCAAGTCACAGGTTCAGGATTTTCTTTGGGGAACCTTTGTATGGTAGAAATGTTCACTTCCATTTTGAATGTTTCACTTTTGCCAATCTGAGGCAAAGTAAATCTGCAGCATGGCTCCACGTGGAGTTCAACTTTGGTAAAGTTTGACCTGCGACATTTGTTCAGGGATCATGTCTGAAAACGGCATATCGGCTATGTTTCTGTTCATTCACCCTGACCATGACCTGACAGGCAGTTGAGGGGAGCCACCCTGAAGGACATATCAGTCTATTATTTAATGTTATGTTGTTGTATTTATGTCTTGTCTTTAGAGAATAATATTTTTGTGATTTAGAGACTGGAGGTTCCCCGTCCCTGGCTTTGACAAAAAGTGGTTGGGGCAAGTTTCCAGGAAATGACTCCAACAGCCACATTTACCTGATCTCTCTCTCTCTCTCTCTCTCTCTCTCTCTCTCTCTCTCTCT